CTCTGCCCGGTCCCTTCCACCCCCGGCACACACACACTCGCACACCCGCACACACACCCCCCATTGATCAATATTTGGCTGTCTTGCTGCAACTTGCTGCAGTCTTTTAAAGGAGTAGTAGAGAGAGAGGGAGAGAGAAAGGGGAACTGACAGGAAGGGGTAAGGAGCTACACATGTCACATGTGCTTTCTAAGACGGCCAGGAGCATCTGCAGGCTGGATCTGGTGGAGGATGCTGCGGCAGGTGATACACAGAGGGCTCCAGTCGTTTTTCTACAAGCTGGGCTTATTCGTGAGCAGGCATCCGGTGTTTTTCCTCACTGTGCCCGCAGTCCTGACCATCATCTTCGGCTTCAGCCTGCTCAACCGCTTCCAGCCTGACACTGACCTGGAGAGCCTGGTAGCCCCCAGCCACAGCCTGGCCAAGATCGAGAGGAGCTTAGCCAGCAGCCTTTTCTCCCTCGATCAATCCAAAAGCCAGCTCTATTCGGACTTGCACACCCCGGGGAGGTATGGCAGGGTGATTCTCCTCTCCAAACCCGGAGGCAATATTTTGCATCAGGCTGATGTGATCCTGCAGATCCACCGAGCCGTGCTGGAAATGAAGGTGAACTACAAAGGCTATAATTATACTTTTTCCCATCTGTGTGTGTTGAGAAATCAGGATAAGAAATGCGTGCTGGATGATATTATTTCAGTGCTAGAGGATCTGAGGCAGGCTGCCCTCTCCAATAAGACAACAGCCAGGGTGCAAGTGAGCTATCCCAACACTAAATTAAAGGTATGCTCTTACTGCATGCTTTTGCCAATTAAAGAGGCAGCACTTCATTTCTTGTCCTAAGCAGCAAAGAGAAATATAATCATCTCTATCTCTCTCTATCGAAATGTGTGTGATCTGGGCTTTCCTCGGGAAGCAGCTGAAACCGGTGCCTCGCTATTGTTCTGTACAAGGAGGGAGGGGGGGGGACTGAACGCCAACAACCAGGAGAAGCAGGGAGCGGAGAACAGCTTCGGGACCGGGAGACCTTGCAATGCCTTGAAGGGTTAATCCAGGGGGGAAAAGGGACAGGAGGTCTCGGGATGGTGGTGGTGGTGGTGGTGAGAGTTGGGGTTTCTCTATCACCTTTTCCAGCCCCACAGCCGTGGTGGGATAATTTGTCTTTAATATGGCCAGAAAAGGCTTTCCTCAAACGCGCAGCGAGCTCCTGTATCTCCCTGCCTCTGCGAGTGCTGTAGGAGCAGCGGGAGGTTTGGGCCAGAAGCGATTTCAAGTGTCCTGCCTTCTTTTTCTTTACCTGCATGCAAAGAAGGGGAAGGGAGGTGGAATTTTTTCTCTCGGTGTGAAAATAATTAACTCTGCTGCTGGTGGATGGGCTGGAGTTTTGGGACCGATCCCATCAGCTTAAAGGCTTCCAGCAAAGGCGAAACAAGGTAAAAGGTGAAAGAAGTTTCAGTCCTTCCAATTAAAAGAATGAACAATTTGCCACAAATTATCTCGGGAATCTTTCCCTGGCAGCCAAGTACCCATCTGCTTTCTCTGTCAGCTGGAGCACTCCAGTTCACCAGGACTAACTTGCTATGAGCAAATGTGGTGCAAAGTTCTCAGGTGGCTGCTGAAAGAAGTTTCTGCAAATTAAAGGGTATCTGCATGCTCCCCCAGGCATTGCACCAGAGGCAGGATTTATTTAATAAAGTGTAACAAACTGCCTAGCACACTCGTTACTCATGGCTCAGGTCCTAAACCAGAGAGACCTTGTAAACCAAGGGTTACCTGTCCTCCTTTTTTCAAAGAGATCCTCAGGGATGAGGGAGGGAGTGCTCTCGCAAGTACCGGCCAGATCCTGAACTTATCATTTGTTTCTTACTGTTCATTTAGCAGGAAAAAAAGTAAAGCCCATCCCTGCCCCAAAAACTGAAGCAGAGACATAGATTGAGTTTATTGGGGTTTTTGCTTCAGTAAAAGGGCCAGGTGGGGTTTGGTCCCATTGCTCTGGATGTTACAGTAGTTGCTTTGTGCAGAGTTGTGGCTGATGAGTTGAGTGTGTGGAAATGAAAAGGTGTGCTTGCTGCTGCTGGAAAGTCCCGAGTGCAGGGAGAGCTCGGAAACACAAGTTATTCTGGATTAAATATCCCTGAACAAATTTTAACTTTTAGTTTGCTGGGAAGACAATCCTGCTGTTGCAGAATTAAAGTGCTTTCTTTCCATTTTGCTTATTTTTAAAGTCAAGATTAAGCTATTTCAGTGGAGAACACTTATAATCTGGACTAATGTAATTATAAACAAGCTTTATACAGAAATAAGTCATTCTACTCTCTCAATCCAGACTCATTTTCTTGTGTGGAGAAACCTTGACTGAGCTTGGCAAAACTAGGATGAGGTCACTTGCGATGTGTTTTCTTTTTTACTAGGAGAGTTCCTACAGCTCCTTTTTTTTTTTTTTTTAAAGATAAAAGCGAAGGGAAAAATAACCTGGTCTGGATTAGAGGTTTATTGGAATAAGTGATCGGTAGATAATTAATACAGAGAAAGGTTTTCCCAAAGCATAGATACCTGACTCTGAACATTGCCAAATACCAGCCCAGCACCTCCGATCCCTCAAGCAGTTGTTGTGCATCATCTTCCGAATGAAGGAATAAATGCCCTTAAGTACCTGGGTTTAAGGCTGGACAGAGCAGACAGCTTCCTACCCACTTCTCGGTGAGGGGAGGTAAAGCCGCCAAAATCTGTGGCTGCACTTTAGAGAAAAGCTGACGACTACAACCCTTTTCTGCAGATGGGAGAGCCCCTGGTGTTACTGAGAAAGAGAAAAACGCTTTACCACAGTTTTTCTTTTTCTGGTACAGTTAGGACTCTGTTGTGGGACCCTGGTCAGCCCTGAACCTGGACTGGCCTTCAGCTACGGCACATCCCCAGAGACTCACCTCCTCTGGTCTCTTTGCCTCCAGCTGCTGGGAATAAATTACTACTTGGTATAGATTAATTCACTCGGTGAGCCCCCCTCTGTCATCTCTGTTGTCCCATCTACAGGATTAGGAAGTTGTAGGCAAACATCGCTTGCTTTCCTTCAAGCCATGGCCAAAATATTGATCCAGGCTTCCAGGCTATTTACTGACCTCCCTCTGCACCTCTGAGCAAAGACTGTAGAAAGCCAGACCTGTGTTGCTTGTTTTGGGGTGTCTGGATGTGTTTAACCAGAAATACCTTGGATGCTGCACCCGCTGGGGTAGATCAGTCTCTGGATATACAGCAAAGGGAACAACCCTTTGTGGCTGTAGCTAGGAGGTTTTTTATTTCTTTTTATTTGAGTCATGACATGAAGGAGTGGTTGTGGCTAGGCCCCAAAGGAATGCAATAAGAGGGTCAAGTCTGTCTGGCCTAATTCACTGTGGACCAGTGTTCATCACACTCACCGGTCCATGTCCTTGGGATCTTTCTCAGCTAAACTTCCCTGCACCATAAGGACCCACCAGGTTGCCTCACTTTCTCAAAGGACACATTGCTTGGTTAGTACTGGTAGTACTGCTCTGTCTTTTTCTTTTAATAGTGCCTTCAGATTGAATAAAATTCTTCTAAGAACAATATGGTTGGTTTACAAATCACAAAGATGTCCCAGATGTGTTTAGTCTGCAGCTGACACGGGTCAAGTGTCAACCTGTACTGGTTTGGGAACCACAATGACAATGTTGAGCTGTTCCTACTGCCTTCTTCCCCATCTGGGAGCTGCAAAAACATCTTGTAGTTTTTGCTTTCCCCCGAGTCTTGTGAGAAGCTCTCACTTCGCCCCTCTTCTTGTCTCCTGCTAGAGCCCACATTGGTTTGGTTCTCTCAGGTGAGGCTGTGGGTGAGCTCTTGCCAGGTCTTTCACGGGAACTTTGTGGGAGCTGTGTGAGCAAGTTTCAGCAGACTGCTTGGTTTTGAAACAGCTGTTACTGGGCTGCAAAATCTAATGAAACTGCTTGGCTTTTCCTACGAAAATCTGGCTGTGAAGGGTAATGATTTTTTAATCGTTACTTGCTGTAGTGTTGCAAGAGCTTATAGCCTTGGATATATTTATTTTCACTGCCCCTCTCTAAGTTGGGAAGTCTTGGTCTCTCTACTCTCCAGAGGAGGAGCAGAGAGATGGCACTTACATCCACGGAGCAGACTGCAGTGTGGTTTCAAAAGCCTGAGATGCATTTAAAATCCACTCTGGCAACACAGGGGTCATTGCAGGCTAGTTTACTCTTCCGAAAGGCTGAGCCAGGCTGTACAAAAATTCTTGCTCCTGTGGCTTTGGGGACACTCTCTAGCTTGTTCACAGTTATTGCTATGCTACGCTGCAGTCTGCAGCCCAGCCAGAAGTGTGACTTGCCCAAGGTCATGCAGATAGACCGTGGCAGAGGAGGAAAACAAAGCTGGATGTATGAAGTCTTGATGAAGACTTTTGAGATACGTCCTGGAGCAAGATTTCTCGTGCTTTTCCTAGCCCAGGACAAAAACCCCAATGCTTGGCGTCTGGATTGTGCCCTAACCACATAGACTGGGCAAGTCTACTCTGAGCACTGACCCTCAGACATCAGACTGTTAAATCACAAGTTTTGACAAATCCCGGCATCACTTTTGTCAATTAAGACTTCCAGGACAGTGCCTGGGCATGGCTTGGGAGTCAGCATGGGAAAGGATCCATTCCTGGTTGGAATATCTACTCCATTCTCCATTCTGGGGATAACAGTGTGTGTCTGCTTGGATGTGTTGTGCCCCTGCCCCCAGGGCCAGAGTACGGTCTGAGGCACATTTTATTTATTGGTATGGGGGATTACTTCTTGTGTACTATCAGATATGAGGAAGCAGATTGGTTTATGACCCTGGTTTGCCAATAACCCCAGAAACTTTGCTGTCCTTATCAGGAAAAAAGAAAAAAAAAATCACTACAAAGAATGAGAATGATTTCTGAACAGGGTCCTTACCCGGAGGGAAAAAAAAAAAGCATGAAAGCACTTTTTCAGGTATTTTACCTTTACTGTTTCTTTTCATGTTTATTTGCTATTTTGTCTGAGAAAACATAATAACTTAGAACTTACCTCTCTGAGATCAAAACGAATATGACAACTCCTGGTTAAAAGGAGCCTTTTGGAAGCAGATTGGTTTTTGTAATATTGCTTTCATTAATTAAGTATCAGTCATTTATGAACACTAGGCTAAATAGCAGCAAATAAAACAGACATCTCTATTACCACAAATGTGGTAATAGAGTTGAATATTGAATCCTTTATTGCTTAAATAGAAAAGTTACTTGCATTCTCTTAGCATCTTGAAACCCCTAATTGCAGACTTGCTCCTGGCCAGATTCTCAATTTTTCTCATGCTGGCAGCTGTACTTTTAAATAAGCCTTGCTCCCTTTGCATTCGTGGAGTCTTACCCACTGATGTAAGATTAATTGCTCCTTACATGACCCTGAGAACTGACCACCTCCATGGGACAGAGAGGATATAAAACCAGAACCCACCTGCATGAGAGTAGACATCCGTGTACCAAAAATATCCACAAACTATTTATCTCTTCAGTAAAGTTGGTTCAAGTGTAAGATTACTCTGACTCCAAGGACCAGATGCTTCTTTAGAGGCACTGTGGCTCTGTTCCCATTTGTGGTACCACCTGTCCCAGCCTGTGGCTTGGGATCCTCTGAAATGCTCTGTGTCTGGCGAAAGTTGCTAAGTCAAAGCAAAACAATAAAACACGAGCAAGGAGAGGATCAGAGGAGGAAGGCTGGAGGCTGCAGATAGTTTTCATCTTATCCTCT